TCTTGCTTCCTCCTGGAAATAACGCTATAACTAACCCCTATGATAAAATAAAAAAAATATAATAATAAAAAGAAGAAAAATGTTCACTTTTGATGCAGTCTATGATATAGCGTGGTGACGTTGAAGAATTCAAGTCAGTTGCGACACAAAACGCAACACAAAGTCTGATCTAATTTTACGGCGAGTGGTGGAGAATGAAATTATCACATTCTTCTTTTCTAAGCAGTCTCTTTGCAGTATCTACATGCCGGTTTTCTGTTTGAGACAATGATCAACATCACTCGGTATTCGGTTTGGAAATCCGTTGAAGGCTTTCCTATTGATAATAAAATGGAAAAGAAACAAAAAAAAAAAATACTATCACTGCATCAGGTTGGGATTCACGGCTACAATCTCCCCATATTGCAGTAAGAAGCAATATATCCTGTGAATGATAAATCCTCTAAGCCTTCTTTCCGCATTGTATTTCAGAAAAGCTAGGCAACTGAAAACTGTCAACACTTGCTGCATGTTGGCCTTAATATTTTATACAAATATATATATATATATATTTTAGAGCCAGTCTTCTGCTGCTGGCAGCCGAATGTACCACCTAAGAAAGGCGGAGCATTTTACAGTCTGTTGACTGCAAATTAACTACAAAGTATTTCGTGGAAGTGATTATTTTATTGGATTTTCTGTTAACCATAAAACAGATATGATTCACTTTCAATGATCTCCAGTTTGGACATATCAACCAGTAACTTAACAAGATGAGCGCAATGGTTGGGGTTTTGCAATGGTTGGGGTTTTGCAATGGTTGGGGTTTTGCAATGGTTGGGGTTTTGCAATGGTTGGGGTTTTGCCGCACGAACCCTGCAACAACAATGTTACATTCTCTTTCTCTGTGTAGTGTCCCTTTATAACATAGCTTTTCACAATTTCCTGTTCTTTGTAGATCTTAATAAATTCTGTCGTTTTGTTATCTCTCTTAAAACTTATTCCATCATCAATTTACTCAAGCTCACTAAGTAGGTTATACGTTGTGTCACTCTTACCTTCAATCTGTCCTGTGAGCATCAGATTTTCCAAGCCCTCTTTTTTCATTATATGCCCTAGAAATTTAAAATGGCTCATCCTAATGTTAAGTATAGGTTTCTTTTTTGCTTTTCTAAAACTTCAGTATTGCTCACATGTTCAGTCCATGTTATCTTCTGCATCATTCTGTAGGACCATATTTCTCTTTCTTCAAATATTTTCTTCATCTGTGAGGAGATTGTCCAGAATTCACTGTCATATAGGAGGACTTGTGTTAAGCAACAGCTCAGTACACTTTTTTTTTGTTTCTAACGAATTTTTTTCTAGTAGATGTTACATATCAGTATCAAATTCCAATTATTTTAATGAGAGCTTCTATTTGTCATGTTCCGTTTATTTTTCGAGTCGCCGCTTTTTCGTTTGTTTACATCTTGTTAGTCGCTCCCTGAGTTTATTTCTTCTTGTTTTTTCCTTCTTATCTTTTTGGTTATTGTTTTTGCCCCATTTGCTTCTCTTTTTACTTCTCTTTTCTTTTGCATTTTGTTTTTTACTGTTTGTGGTTTTGCTTCTTGTAATTTTCTATTTGTCATTTTTTTCTTGTTCTTTATTTTTTTTTTATCAATTTATGTATTTTTCTTCTTCATTACTCGTTCTTATTTTCCTTTCTTGATGTTTTCTGTCTTTTTCTTTTTTTTTTGGTCTTTTTGCTATTTACTTTTTTCATTTAGTCTGTTATTTTTTAATTTTTGTTTTTTTGTTTTTTGCTTCTTGTCTTTTAGCATCCCATGACTCTGGTTGTGTTTCTTTTTGTTTTGTGTCCTCTGTTTTATATATATATATATATATATATATATATATATATATATATATATATATATATATTTTGCGACTTAACCTTTTGCCGGGTCTGGGATCAGTTTTTAACTTAATTTTATTTTTCCTGACTATTTTATTCATTTTGAAGCCGACAATCTATTTTTTAAATTGGAAAAATTTATGACCATTATGGTATAGTCCCAAAAATTTAGGATTAAATCTTTATTCACAATTTTAAATTACATAATTTTTAAAGCACTTGGCAAAAAACATTTGGTATTAGTATTTTGGAATATTCCCTTCACGATGTCCCTTGGAATGTGGTTTTTAATCACCGCGTTAAAAAATGTCCATCTGAGGTCTCCTCCTGGGTAAAAGCTGGCATTGAGGCTTTCATCACAGCAAGAAAATACAAAGTTAAATCGCGCTCATCTCCTTGGTTCTCGGCTGCTTGCTCAGCTGCTCTAACCCATAGGAATCACTTCTTCAGTCTGTACCGGAGCGACATATCTGATTGCAACAGACGTTTCTTTGTCTCTGCTCGAAATGAGTGCAGCCGTGTCCTCAATCAAAGTTACTATTTGCAGATAGAATGGGGGAGGCCATGCTTTACTATTATTAAAGTGTGAAACTAGTCATGTTAACCATAACCCGCTTTGGTTTCGGAGTGCTGTAGAAATCAAGGTTTAAACAAAAACTGATTTTTAAAAAGAACTGATCATTTGATCAGATTCTGAAAAGTTGGTCGAGCCGAGAACCTTTCAAGACCTCCTGAAACTGCTAGTATGAAAACTCAATGCGTATAAAGAATAGTAACAGAACAAAAAGTCTGTCTTTATGACCATGTTCATTTATTTTTCCATAGCAAAACAATTCCACTCAGCTGGAAGATTACACGTCGACATTTTGGCAAAGGAAACATGGAGAATGCCAGGTAGTTTGTATAGTTACCTTGTTCCTTCTGGAAGTGGCACTCATGTGAAACGTTATTACGAAGCCTTGCATCCTACCCTATCTGAAACAGGACTTCCAGAAACAATTGATATGACCAGAGAAGCGAAAAAGTAACACGTGACCATAAGAATACTATCATCGCCTGTTGAATGTATGAGTATTCTATTGTCAGGTGGGGAACAATGTCCAGGCGACATGCCTTTTTTTCTGTCTCTCAATTGGTGCAGAAAATTACCATCGCCTAGTTTTGCAATTAAGTATTCGCTATACATACACTAGGCTGTGATATTCCACAAAGGTAGGTACATTTATTTTCTAATTTAGTTTGAAATACGGAATAATAATAATAATAATAATAATAATAATAATAATAATTAATAATAATAATTATTATAATTATTATTATTATTATTATTATTAAAAATAGCAGTTGTTTGTACAGCAAAATATTTTTATTCAAACAGACAATTTCTCGTTTATGCTGAAATCAACTTCAATGTTTTATTACTTGAACTATCAGTGACCCAACGGACCACAGCTTGTCTAGTCAGTAATAAGAGTGTAAACTGTCCAATATCCTGCCCTAATCATGTAAAACAAAATAAAGATTTGCATCAAAAGTTAATAAAACTAATAGGTACCGATTACATATTAGGTATATCAACAAATAATATAACTTAGTAACATGTCACTAAAATTAAAATATTATTAATTTGAAATTTAATTTGCTGCTTTATACTAATCAATATACATATGTATACACAGCGTTAAAATTAAAATATGATTAACTTAAAATAAAATCTGGGGTAATGAGCAAATTAATACATATATATATATATATATATATATATATATATATATATATATATATATATATATAAAATACTGTAAGCAAAAAAGATAATTTTAATTTAATACTGGGTTTAAAATTTTTACAAAATAAAATATATTTTCTGAAACTTTATTGTAAAAATATTAGCTGATTTAAAGTTTAATTATAGAGATTTGAAAAAAAAATATTGTTTCATCTAAGTTTAAATTAACAGAGATAGATTTTTAAAACAAACAGTAGTGCGATTAAACGCTTGTCAACACCATGTAAATCACTTGAGGTACTAACACGTTTATTATTGTTCTAAGGTGACGTTATCTGTTACAACATAATTTAAGAAAATGACTGGTGAACGTTTCTCTACATAATTTTTAAGTATTCAGTATTCTTAAAAATGTGGGAAAATGTTCTTCGTAATCTAATATTAGTGACGTTGAATTTAAATTGACTATAATCATCACTCTTATTTTCTGTTTATGTCATCTATGGTCAACCATACTTTCAAACAGTGGGGAACGTTACGTATACACAAAAAAATTTTAAAATTATTTTAAAATATTGTGTTAAAACGACTTTTAAGGAACTTTTCAATTTTCGATTCGTAAATGTAGTTTTCAATAGCAATATTACCTAAATGCCTTGAATTAATGCAGAATTTTAGACGATTTAAATTATTTAATTAAAATTTAAAAAAATGAAAACAATTCTTTTAAAAATTAATTATTCATCGAAAAAATTTTCTTCTTAGTGTCCTTAATAAATCTTATTCATAAAAGCAATTAAAAGTTTTTCTAATTAAATAATGTCATAATTGCATTTAATATTCTACGTAATAAATGTCTGTGTATTTAGACAGCAAATTCTCTTTTAGGCATGTCTGATTAGATAAACTACAAACATTATGTCTGCTTACTGTCAGCTTAATTCGTTCATATTCCCTGGGGTTGGTCAAATTCATATTTCGTCATAAGTAGAATATCTCTCCCCAAGCGGACATAGAAGAGACGTCTGGAAACTAAAATGCGTCATGGTCGCGTGTGGGTCGATTGGCTGTTGCCAAGTCCCCTCCCCCCTGAAACGGTCCTGTTATTAATAGTAATAAGCCGGTAAACAGCCTTGGCAACAAACGGCCGTTGTAAGGGCAGAATGCTGATTGGTCGATGCGAAACGGCGGGAAATCCGAGACCACAAGGAGAAATTTATTTATTTTGCCGAAAATTCTCGTCGGAAAAAGACGTGCCTGTTAATTGGCGATTAATGTAAGCTAACACCCCAAGCCAATTCATGTGGGGAGCTTACGAAAACAGTCAGAAAGATATAAGAAACTTTGGCCCTTTTGGTTCTTAAGTGACGGTGAAAACAAAATCTGAATGGATCAAACGCATCGAAGGAAGAAATCCTGGGAAGTTTGAATCAGATCACCATGAAGGAAGAATATGGCTCGTTTAACCAGAATTGAATGTTCGATAAAAATTGAAAGAATAAAAATGAGTTTAATGATAAACATAGAAGATACACGAAGAAAGGAAAAGGAAAAATCTATCCCGGTACACTTGAAATAGATGAACGGAAAACGCGGGAATATGAAAGATAATGAGGAAGCTGACCTAAATAAATTATTTCATTCTCAATGAGAAATACGAAATAAAGAATAACAAGATAAGAAAAAAAAAAAGAAGTATTTTGAGAGAAAGAACTTTGCGCCGAAAAGAATTAATTGTCTGAGAAACAGAGAGACAAAAATAATCGTCCGAGAAACTGAAAGACAAAAAAGAAAAAAAAAAAGAAAAGGATAGAGAGAGATAAATAGTAAGTGTAAAAAATAAAAAAAAGAGAGAGAAGACAAAAAAAAAGAAGAGAAACTTTTATTTTTCTTTTCACCCAGCCCGTAGAATGTACACACAAACATTTTAAAGAAAATTTCATCGCACACATCTTTCCAGACAAAAATTAAGTGAATTACCCCGAAGTTGTTGAGATATGAACATTTTGTTCCCTTATGCTCAGTCAGTTTTATTTACGCTTAGTTGTTGTTTTTTTTTGTTTTTTTGTATGTGTGTGTTTGTGTGTTATAAATAAAAGGAGCTTATACTTTTAATCGTGTGTTTTGTGATATCTTCGTTTTGGTCGTTCGAAGATTCTGTGTTACATCTTCCCCTGTTCGCTTGTGGTGGAGTGATATCCCATAAAATTGTCCAACCCAATATCAGCAATTCACTTGGCGTTGTCCGGGCGGTGGGTAAGGGTTGTGACTTAATACTTGTCACCTTCGCCGCGATATATATATATATATATATATATATATAAAATCTATTCGAAAATTATAACATAAATATGTTATAAGATTACTACAAAAGTAGCCATTTTATTTTCACACTTCTGGTTTTAATCAAGTGATGGTGTTGAATGTAGAATAAAGGGTTTTAAAGGTTTCAAATCAATCAAACACCCCTCGCTAGTGGAAACGCTGTTACATAAGCTGCAATGACCAATCAAAATACAAGTATATGAGAATTCAAAAAACTTGACAGCGAACCTTGGTTATAATAATTAATGCTTTAATGTTAGGGTTAGACTAAAATAGAAATCATACTAACTAATTAATATTAAATTTTACTATAAAATTAAAAGTTACCAATTTTAAATTTTTAATCTGTTTTAAGTTTAAAATATTATAAAATTATTTAAAGAAGAAACTGAGGAAAAAAACATGTTTTGTTATTTATTTTGTTCTAATTGAAAGGCCAAAAATTGAGTTAGAGTAAACGTTAAAATCTAATGTTCTGCTAAGCTTCGTTACAGCTTAGATACATCTGAAGTGATGATATGGGCAGGGGAGGGTGAAATCTTGCAAAAGACAATATATACACAATCAGATTATAATACACAAACACGTAGACATAGATATATAAACACGCAAAAACACGAACGAAACAGGAAACAGATGTGCACGACCCTTAAAAAAAAAAACGACAACATATACATACAATGAAAGGCATATATACGCGATCATACAGACATACATTAATAAAGACACAAACATATACACACCAAGAAATATTCAAATTTGAAAGTGTTAGTAAACGAATTCAAACATACTATTAAAATATATCTTACATGGGCAAAGATATATAGATAAAAATGGTTCAATAGATAAAATTCAATAGGGGTAGAATAGAAAAACAAATATTCGTCAATGAACAACGTAAAGAAAAAAGACACTAAAATATATAGGAATGTATAGAAAAATAAATATATACACACGCATAAGAAAACACCAAATTCAAATGTCCAGTCAAAATGTAACACTTAAAATAAAACTATCTAATATATAAAAAAGGAAACACATAAACACACAAATATATATAAATATCTCATATATACTTATATACGCATGAGTACACATACACGAGTACAAATATATAACAATATGTAAAAAATACATACATACGTATGTGTACACACATTCATCACTACAAATAGAAACATACATAAATATACATATGCACATACATACACATACACACACACATATATATATACCTATATAACACATATGCATACATACACATATACATACACATATACGCATATGCATATATACATACACATAGAAATAAATATATCAACCTACACAGTAACATAAAAAGAAAAAAGAGAAAAATAAAATATATATGTATATATAGAGACATATACACACATACAAACATATATATATATATATATATATATATATATATATATACACATACATAAACACATATATACATATACATACATGCATGCACATATACATACATAAACCTACACATATACTAAGAATATTATCCAAATGACAATAAAGGACTATAAAGTCCATACAAGATTAAAATGTAACAAAACACAACTGTTGATTAATTCCACAAGCAATTTTAAAACCACTATTAAACAAAAGTAGATTATAGTTAGCATAGATAATACATTCCAAAACACTAGGAAATACACATATACAGATATATTTGCAAAGATATATATGCACACGCGCATACGTACCTAAGTTTACACACCCATACATATACAAGCGCATAAATATATACAAAAAGCACATATATAACAGCCATCAATACAAACATATATATATATATATATATATATATATATATATATATAAAAATATATATACAAGTACAAATATATTCGTATATATATACATACACGCAAACATTCACATTCACATATACATATAGACATATATATCTACACACACATAAACATATACACACATACAAGTACATTCAAATACAAATACACACACATACATATATATATAAATTCACATACGCATATATCTATCTATCTATCTATCTATAAAAATATACACACATGTGCAGACACAAATAACATAATATACGTATACCTACAAATATGTACATAGATAGGAGGATTATCAGATAATAAAAGTAATAACATGCTAAACTTACAGTAACATTGCCTTATCGTCAAAAATATTACTACACTTATAGTAAGTTGAATTTATAGCTATGCTTACAGTTAACAGTGAGTTCATTCCTTTGATTTAAGTGATAGGTCTTCAAATTTTTCATTGACATAAATAACAAGGGGTATATAGAGAATGTCATGTTCGAGCTCTCTTAATTTCCATTTAACAGTAGGTGTTTTGTTTTTCGCCTTTAAACTCCTAAGATACTTGGATAATGAAGTCTTGTACTTATGATTACTACTATTGAAAGATTGCACATGTCCCGCAAATATTCTTTGAATGTATTCATAGTACTTCCAATGTAATTTTTTTTAATATTGGGGTTTTCTAATGTAGACATTGTACTCAGATAAACTAGATAACTAGTTAAACAATTATTCCGTAATTGGGCAATTATTCGGATTCCTACAATTGTACAAGTTGTTATTAGTGTGATTATACTTAGTTTTACTCGTTGCAACCTGGCGAGTAGTCAATTTTTTTGAGTCTTTATACTTGGTGAAGACTCTGTTATTATAGTTCTTAATTATTTTTTCCAGATTATCAGCACAACTATAGCTTAATTTAAGGGTATTATAATTGAATATTTTACTGAGTAGGTTAGTTTCGGGGCCGGGGAAATGTTTTTTGATAAGATTTAGAAATTTATGTCCTAGTTTGGTTTTAACCATTAGGTGAAAGGGGAAGTAAACCAAATGATCTTCCTGGAACTTCTTTTCTTATTGTGGTCATAATTAACAGGATTTCTATATTGAATAGTGGTACCCTTGTAGCCACTATTACTAAGGGTAGAATTGTAAAATTCACAATGTTTATAAAAAACCTCTTTTCTAGAAGGGTTAGTACTTATCCTAAATTCAATGGAGAAGGGTATGTGCTTAATAACCGAAGGTGGGTGGTTGGAATCGGGATGTACATATACCGGGTTAGAATTAACCTTCACATAAGGTTGAAAAGAGCTATTAGTAAGGTCTAGAGTGACAACCAGAAAATCTACCTGTTTAATGTTAGTCGTAATTATAGTTCTAAAACCTAAATCCTTAAATTTCCTCCTTATATATATATATATATATATATATATATATATATATATATATATATATATATATATATATATATATAAAAACATTGTTTATTTAAAAAAGCTGAAATATAAATAAGCACACACGCAATCACAGGTGAAAAGAGAGAAAGATAGAGAGAGAGGTAGAAAAAGTGAGGTGGAAAGAAATTTAAATCATTATGCACCCGACGACCGACGTACACACGATTCACAGACTATTAGTATTAGATAGATAGATAGATAGATAGATAGATAGATAGATAGATATGGGAAGACGGAAGAGAAGCAAAGAAGAATGCTGGAGGGGTGATAATGGTGGTGATTGTGGTGATAATGACTTGTCGGTTATTTCTTTTATTATCTATTTATTCATTATTAATTTATTTACAATTTTTATTTTATTATCCATAAAGTACAAACACTTATAATAAACTTCTCTTTAAATATTATTAGTGTTATGGTCCAATATCCTCGCACCACAGTTATGGTCCAAGGTTGGAACCAAGGAAGAACAACACGAACACAAGAGTAGAATAACAAAGATATGTTACAATAGAAATATAGTACAAAAAGTTGAAGGTGTTAGTAATGACTTTCCGTCTGGTTTAGAGTGAACTAATACTGTCTCGACTCATATCACCATTCATTCATTATACCTCTTGAGAGGTGCAGTATTTATAGTGTCAGGAAGAGTCCATTATCGTTATAGGTAAGTTCCCATAACAATTAGTGACTATATATTAATTGTATTTATGTGTAAAATGTGTTAGTGCAATAACAGGATTAGAGAGATTTGAATATAGTTTCCTATTATTGAAAATTTCGTTGAAAATTGAAGTTATGTCGGAGTCTGGTGAAGCAACTCCTTGGGATTCAAATGCTTATAATTGAAGATTTTATCGCTGTTGTTAACAATAATAATTTGGGAGAATATTTGGAGCAGTTCAAAGGAATATAACCCCAATGCAGAATGGATCCAACGTGAAGAAGAACGAATGCTGGATAAACCTATACAAGTATGGGAGAATATAACCACGAATAATATTAGACACATTCTAACGAAATCCCCAAAATGAAAATCCCCAGAAAATGACAAGGTGTCCAATTTCTGGCTCTATCATCTCTCATCCATCCATATAACCCTTGCACAAACTCTATCAATGATCATTAATAATCCCAATGAAATGCCAGAAAAGATCACTGGAGGTATTACATGTCTCATGCCAAAAAGAAGAGAAACAAATGACCCGAAATATTATTGGCCAATAAGATATCTTTGGCATAGTCTCGTCTGGGTTCCTCTCCGCACGCAAGTAGAGAGGTCGACAAGAAGTTCTGTTCAACTTCGGTATTATCCCGAAGCCTCCCCACAAGACGGGATGTGGCACAAGGCCGGCTTTTAACGTGGGGCATTCCAAGAGCGTACACTCGGGCAAAAATTCCCCGTAGACTCCGCATACACGGTGTCAGATTTGTCTACCTTCCCAGATGAGACTCTGCCTTCCGGCAGGGCCTCGTCTGGTTTTCTCTCTACCCGGAAGCAGGGAAGTTGACAATAATTTCTGCTCAACTTCCACTCTCTCAGTAAGAGAGCGTGCTATTTATCTTTTTGGATCAGTCTATTTTGTTGGGGTGTTCCGAGACTCCACAAGAAAAATCATATAACATTAGTAATTGTGCAAACAGAATACATATATTTACTATATACCTTATTCTATGTCTCGGGTAATTAACTGGAAAGGGGCTAGCTTGAGCAGAACGCAAATGAAGATAATAATCATAATGGCAATAATAAAATTCCATACTTGTTATTTATCGTATGCTTTTTTACATTACAATGTATCAGTTTGGTGTTAATTACCTATCGAACCCTGCAAACTGTTTTGATAAGTATATGTAAACACTATTAGTTATTTGTTTATTTTTTGTTTCTTTATAGGTGGCTATTCATTCTTGAAAAGATACTCTCCTTCACGAAGAGTGACATATTTTGTAAACTTTTTAATGAATGCATGTCCTGGAGGCGTTTGTTACAAAGGTGAAAGCTTAGAGAAAGGTCTAGATTGTCCAATGTGCAGTTCTATAAAACTTAATCAGTTTGTTGATGACAAACTCTAGACTCGCGTACTGTTAGCAAAGGCTATAATGTTGGATACCGGTCGATATATATGAAAATGAAGGTTTTGACATCACGATAATTCCAGTTTACGTTGTTCTTTCTAATCCAGCATCGAAGAATTTGGTGAGAAATGAAATCAACAAATTTATCACATAAAATAAAGATACTTCTTTTAATAAGGAATGTATTCAAAAGTATTTTTTCATCATAGTGATTATATCTAATCTGTTTCTATCTATCTATCTATCTATCTATCTATCTAAGGTCATTCATATCTGTCTATCCTGAGGTGAGATTTTTTATGAGAAACAAAAGTAACTATGGATATTAGAAGCGCATTATTTTGCATGAAAATTCCCAAAACCTGCACCAAAATATTTTCTATTTTTACCGCTACTTTCAGCTGCTAGTGAGGTCGTCGAGTGCATTATGGTATGGGAGCAAGTTCTTGTCTTTCCACGACAAGATGGACATGAAAGGAATTACAACAGGTGTGGAAAATGTCATCAATCACCTGGAAGAAGGATCCTCGATTCTTGTGGAGCAATACATTCCCTTTAAACAGCCGAAACCTAGGCAACGCTAGTCTTTCATTCCGCCTCTGTAAACTTAAACACTTTATTTCGCTAATATTGATAGCAATAGTGTAAAGTTAAGAATGCTTCTGTAATATCCCTTCAGGCTTTGTCACTAAGATTGTGTATTATAACAGATCCATATTGCATAAGCAAGCAACTGGAGATGCAATACGGTCAGGTATGTATGCATAGATTTTGGCATGTTTGAAAGATGTTAAAAAAATCAACGATGGAAGCGGAAGACAACTGTGAAATTTTTGTAACGTCAAAAATTTTAAAATATTTATATTCAAGGTAGATACTTTCCTTCTTTTTTAAAGAAGAGATAACCAAAGTATATAAAAAAATAACGAGGTACAAAGCAATAATTAACTGCATGAAAATAGGCGCGGCATTAGAAATCTGTAAAAATAGGCGTGGCACTAGAAATGCAAAGTGGAATTTACATTAATATAATTATAATTAAATATCCATTATGGGCCACCGATTTTACAAGAATCGAATGTCCATAATCTCCTTTAATCTGGACAAACTTAAAACTTTTATACGATTATCCGACTAATTCAGTCATTTCATTCACATACAATTTAAATTTAATAATATGCTAATAAAAGTTTCTAACAATCAATAATTCTGTCAATATACGAGACATTAATAATTATTGGATCAGAAGAGTATCATTGCATTGTTGTTGCATGACATGTGTTAGTCTTGCACAACCAAATATCTGACAAAAACACTGGAACCATGTGTGTCAGAAAATCAATCGAAATCCGATATCCACAAATTAAAAAAGAAGCAAATTTTTTAAAAATTTACATAAATCTACGTTAAATGTACATTTTTGCATTTCGATTGTTAAACTTTTCGTATATTTAAAGCTAAATTATTTTATGGTATAAATATTAATATTTCAATAAAATGTACAATATTCGAATCAGAAGCATTGTGTGTCGAACATCGAGCGGAGAGCACCGAACGACTAAAGTAAATAGTGAATTATCACCAAATATAATATTTGAAAATGATTTGCTTACTTATGCATTGTGTACCCGTTGGACAAGGTTCAGCATTTTAAATTAAAATTATAATTACGTTTTATCTACATGTACTACACATATACTGTATATCGATTTCGTTATACTTATTGCGTAGATAAGTCATGAGTATAATGTTAGTACTAGGTTGATTAATTACGAGAATAAGTTAGAAACTAAGTCAGCCTTAGGAGATGTGAGGATCAAAGTTAAATATATATTTTATTCAAAAAATGAATTATACAATTATAAATATAGAATTAGAATAGTTAGTACTGTGGCTTTGGATAGAAATTGATATATAAAAATTGCTTCATTCTCTGCATTCACTCAATGCTATTCGGAAAAGTTAACTTGAAATGAAATTATCAATGTAGTAGTTAAGAAGTTAGTGATGTTAATGTTTGCATTAAGAGTAGTAATGTAGTTGGTGGGACCAAATGAAATAGAATAGCAAATAATTTTAGTGTCACTATTTAACAAAGAATATTTGAATAGCTCAGTGTAGCAACAACTCTAGGTCAAGGTAGCATTTCTGATTAAGTTAGGACAACGCGGATGGTGTCGTGAGTGCTCACGAATAGGTCAACATGGCGCGTATAGTTGCTGTGAATTGATAAAACCCGGATAGAAAATTGAGGTAGATAGAAAGACATAATTAAATCTAGATAGAGAGACAGGTAGAAACTGGCTGGGATGGCTAAGCAGAAAAGCATTTAAAAAGATACTAATAAATAGACGTATATATAAGAGAGGAGTGTTTGAATGAATTCATTCTGGTTGAGTGCACAGTTTGTGTGAATTAAAAAACAAGAGAAAAAAAAAAAGAAATTAAATAATAATAATAATAATACGCAAGCAAAGAATAATAAGAATCAAACTCATTGTACAGTGAGAGGGAAAAGTAAGATAGGAAAGAGTGTAAGAAAGAGGCATAAATAAAGAGTTGGTGAAAATTAAGGCTAACAACACACGCACATACTCACACCAAGATAGAAAACATTACACATGAGTTTCAAATAGACAAGATGATTTGAATAAAATAAGTGTATGGAAATTATTTAATAGTTTTCAAGTAATTTTCTTTTGTACATTTCAGTAATGAAACGCTTTGTCTAAGAATGTTCAAAGCCTGAATTAAGGAGTGGGTGGGGATTTTCTAAATAATTTAATAAAAATGGTTAGGGTTAGAATAAGGATGTTCCGTTATTGATTTTTCTCAAAAAAAAAAAAAAAAAAAAAAAAAAAAAAAAAAATATAATTCTTTGCTGTCGATTTATTTAAAAAAAACAAATGTATTTGACTCCAAATGTTTAATTACAGATTACGTGTGGTATTGGGACTTCAGATCAACCATTTAACGGTGACAATTCAGTTTCGCTTTCTTTAGAACTTTCACTAAAGAAATATGGTTTTCCGGGCGTTCAAATCAAGGAGATTCACAAAGATATTAAGCCCCAGTCGAAAAAAAAAAAAAAAAAAAAAACTCTGGCTTCTATCATCAGAAATGAGAAGGACTTCAGTGAAGAGAAGCGCGAAGTTGGTGCTCAAACTGACATCATTGGTAGATTATTGTAAACAGATTTTCTCTATACGCACGTAGATCCCGATATTCATTCATTTTCTCATGCTAACTGACACTTAAATATTTATTTCGCTGATGATAAATAGTAGAATAGATTGGACTCACAAGCCTTGGTTGGTTGACAGTCAGTCTAGGGGAAAAACAACTTCGGTTTGAAAAACAAGAAGAACGCAATAAGAAACCACTATACTATCTTTCTGAAGAAATCATAATTCAGATAAAATAAAGGAACGTTAGGAAGAGTATTGACCTGAGAATATCAATGTAGCAGTTAATAAGTTACCAATGCTAATGTTTGCATTAAGAGCTTTAATATAGTTTGTGTCACCAAAGGAAATAGAATAGCAAATAATTTTATATTCGATCTGGTCTTTGTAGCGAAAGCTCTAAATCAATATAACATTCAGGCTGGTGGTGTACGGAAAAGTTTACGAAGAGGTCAGCGCTATATGTGTAGGTATTGTGCGTTGATAAAATGTTGATGAAATATGTTGCGGAAAACAGTTAACAAACAAACATGTTTATTTTAATGAGTAACGGACTGGTAGGAAAACTTATCAGTATCGGTGTCAACTAATGGAGAGAGATGTATTTTGAGCTTTTCATAGGGGAATGACGTCTGTTGATTTGGGGAATCATTATCATCGGTAGGTTATTATTTATATCTTATTAATGATTTCACTCCAAATAAGGCAATATAGCCAGTAAGACGCAGGGAATATAAGAAAAATACTGTTAAGAGGAGAGGACAATAAAACCATAAGAATTAAGAAGACAGAAGATAACGATTGATATTGCATTTCAATTTGTGAAGATCAACATTAAATGATAAGTAAGAAGTCGAAACAAACAAGAAGTGCGATAGAAGAAACTGTTAGCATAGAACTTACGGTTACATCTAGGCGTTTCAATTGTAAAATAATGAGACTATGCCGTTGATTCAGTACTGCGCTTAAATTCATAAAGTCTAGGTACCATCGTGGAAAACTCATCAGAACAATTACCATGAAGTAAAAAGGCACAGGAAAACCGAGATGCAAGATCAAAACAATGACATTGCAGATTCGTTGGATTTTATCAGGAATCTCTAAATATATAGCAGGAGCACCGAACCAGATGTCATTCAAAGATCTGTTCAAAGCATGACCGAATGGTAGACTTATAATTATGAAAGATAGATGCTTACGAGAAAACTTGCCAGAGCGTGGCAAAAAGATCCAACTTTTCTAGAAGCAGACCTAACAACTGATTCAATATATTTTTACTTCATGTCAGTGGAAAACGTTAGTCTGAGAAAGCGTAATGAGTCACATCCTGTAGGTTAGCATAAACCATGCTGATGAAAGGTAAATGGTTCCATCAGACCATTAAGAGAGAGAGAGAGAGAGAAAGAGAGAGAGAGAGAGAGATATGTTTCTTTTTGGAGGCGTTGAAATTAACAAGCCACTCATTGTCTCAATTATCAAGAGTATGTAGATCATTTTTTAGATCATATCGAACTGATCAGACTTACCATTAAAACATAAATAAATGGTTGTGTCGTCAGCATAGATACCTAATTGACAACTGATGCTATCAGGAATATGAAAACTAGGAATACTGTAGGTCCAAGGATACAGCCCTGTAGGACGTCTGCATTTACGCAATAAGAGTGGATGTTCAAGATATATTTTCATTTCGGGATTCGATAAGAAAGATTGAATCAGTTCAAAAATTTATCCAGAAACGCCATAAACTTTCAACTTGTGAAGAAGACCTATATCGCATATCCCGTCAAGTGTCTTCGAGATATGCAAAGCAATAGCCTGAACGTCACCATTCTTATTCAAAGCTTGATAGACTCTTTCAGCAATAATAGTTAACACATCAGCAGATGGCCTAGAGACATACTTCTTATCTGATAGAACACCATGCGAGGTGAGATGTTCTACCAATTAGAATGAAAACCCTAAATCTGATTGATAGTAAGTTTTGAAACTGTAAATGAAAAATACCTGTCAAATTGCGCTACAAAGATGCCAATATAAATTGGGGGATTAAAAACAATTCGTCTATTCCAGGAGCATCATTTCCCCTTCTTTCTCACGCAGAAAATACACGCAGTCATTTGAACATTTGAAAAAATAGATAATTTAAATATGTAATAGTCATTTCTTTTTTTTTTTAATTACCAAAACACGAACATTTGGAACATTTAACAAACACAAAATAATATGCAAAATGGACGCATGGACCAAAGGTTAGAAAGTTCGTGTTCTCACCGTGAGTGTCCGGTTCAAATCGTTCCATTGACAATTTGTTAAACGGGCAAATTTTTTCAATGTTTAACCTGTACAAAGCCCAATAGCCACTTGAAATCGAAGGCTAGAATAAGACAGAATCTCACTAATTTGGTTTTCAAGGTGCTGAATGTGGCTAGCCAGTTTTTCCTCACTAGGTCAGAGGAGAGGTCAGCTACTAGACTCTGGTCATTTAAATTTTGGGAGGTGTGTGCAAAGCCCGTTGTATCACTAGAATAGATATTTACAAAAGATCTGTATATACGCTTGAGCAGATCATTTATGTCAAGTAGAAAGAGATCTGGTCCGAGAAGAGAGCCTTGAGGTACACCTGCGTCAATCGCTTGGGCCTCGGAGGACTGGCAGTTAACAACTACCTTCAAGGACCTATCCATTAAGAAAGACTTGATAATTGAGAAAATTCTTTCAGTGATTCCATAGTTCGAGGGATTACGCAGTAACCCTCTATGCCACATCTTGTCAAAATCCTTTAAAATATCTAATGTGATCGTCCTAGACATGTATTTGACATCTAGTGCTTAACTGATTCTGTAAGTAATGACAATATATATCAGCAGTGAACCGAGCCGAGCAAAATATGTACTGCTTGTCGTTCAAGAGGCTGACCATATTGGCTCAAGCATCAAGTACAACCATCTTATTCATTAAATTTTGTTAATGACACTGAAAAGGCTGGAGAGTATATACTTATAAGATGATTGGCGCTAATCCACATTCTTGAAAACGGGACATAACTTGACACCTTCCATGTGCTTGGGAAGAATTTCGCCTTTAAGCAACGGATGAATTTGCAATGACCGATGATAATTCAGAATTAATATTCTTAAGGACAACAACTTGGATTTTTTCTGTTCCGATAACCATCTTAGTATTCCAGAATGCGGCAACGTTGGGAAGTGCCTGAAAACCAGGTAACATGCTGTGGTGGGGGAAATGTCATCGTAAGCGATGGTTGAGTGAACTAGTATCTTGAACCACTGACCCCAACAGATTGTACGCTCTCTCCTCAAAACTGTAAAAAGGTCTGCACAAACGCCGGTCGGCTAAACATTGATGTTTTTAGAAGCTGTTCAAATCAAATATCATCGGACGACTTTGTGTAGGAAGAAGGAGAACTTTCTTCGTTCTCTGTGTCTTATGAGTGGGTTTTGGGTACAATTTTTTTCTGTTTTATATTCACTAGGATCTTATTTACATCGATTTATTGTTTTTATTGTTTTTTTTCATAATAAAATTGTTAATAATCAATACATGTTTATAATATTTTCAGGATATCGTTATATATATATATAATTATCTATTTAAAAATATGATTCCAATGCTACATAAGAGTTCTTTCCTATTTTCTATATATTTTTACACACACACACACACACACACACACACACACATATATATATATATATATACAAGCAGGATATCAAGTGAATTTCAGCTGGTAATATCTATCTTTATTTGAAAACATTGATTATAATCTGTTCTTATACAAAGCGTAATATCAATTTTTGCTTGTAAATAAATCCAAATGGTATAAGTCGCAAAATCATATTTGATTGACACTCTCGATACCAGAATAAATTATTTTATGATTTTACATATTAATCTGATTCCTTGTCATTTTATAACTATCGTTAATCTTTTAGTCAATAATTTTGTTTTTTTCCATTTTTCATATACAATGTAATATGGACAACAATTTGTCACATATCATATTTATTTTTAATTCATATTATTTTTTCTAGAGTACTTTCAAATATTGCAACATGCACTTTTAAGGATTGTGTTTTGTGTATATTTACGCAACTGTTTTTTTTGGCGTTCACATTCGAAAATACTCGTAAAAATAATATAAATTAAAAATAAATATAAACTTTAGTAAATTTATCGATAACATAAAACAAATCATTTGGAAATAAGAAATTTGATAGGCATAACTTGTCGATATTATTCAACCAAATATGTTTGAAAGAATTATTGATCTGGAAATACAACTCATATATACAGCGAGCGATGGGTAAATTTTTAATTTAGCGCATGCCCACTGTTTGTAT